TTTGATCCTGACTGGCTCAAGGTTGACTCGGCCTTCCATCCTTCCCAGGTCGGTAAAAGGAGGACCCAGATTGTTGGGGTGAGATGCTGACTCTGTATAATCGCTTAGAGAGCTCTGTGAAGCGGTATATAAGTCTAAGTGTTTATTCCCTTCCTTCATCCCTCCCTCCCTCCCTCCTTCCTTCCTTCCTTCTTTCCTTCCTTCCTTCCTTCCTTCCTTCCTTCCTTCCTTCCTTCCTTCCTTCCATGGTGGCGCAGTGGTTACAATGCCGTATTGCAGGCAAAACTCTGCCCACAGTCAGGAGTTCGATCCTGACCGGCTCAAGGTTGACTCAGCCTTCCGTCCTTCCGAGGTCAGTAAAATGAGGACCCAGATTGTTGGGGGCAAAAGGCTGACTGTGTAAACTGCTTAGAGAGGGCTGTAAAGCACTGTGAAGCGATATATAAGTCTAAGTGCTTATTGCCCTTCCTCCCTCCCTCCCTCCCTCCCTTCCTTCCTGTTAGAATGCCGTATTGCAGGCTGACTCTGCCCACTGCCAGGAGTTCGATCCTGACCGGCTCAAGATTGACTTAGCCTTCTATCCTTCTGAGGTCAGTAAAATGAGGACCCAGATTGTTGGGGGGCAACAGGCTGATGTTGTAAACCGCTTAGAGAGGGCTGTGAAGCCGTTTATAAGTCTAAGTGCTCTTACTATAATGTGAGGTTGTTGGTTTTTTTAAAACTTATTTCAACAGAGGGCCGTTCTGTTTCTCCAGCCTCTGTGCTGGGGAAAATGCCTCCCACTCGTCAACAACATGCTCCGAGCAGCCCAGTGGCCTGACCTCCCTCCGAGATGTCCTCCGTGCCTCTTTTTGCGCAAACCTTGAGAAAGGAAATTCTTCTGGAGGAGAATCTGCTTAGGAAAGCCAAACCTCTCCACTCCAGAGAGGCTGGTCGCCTTTGTGACACCACACCAGAGGAGGAAGATAACAAGTTGTCTCTCCTTGACAACTGGGCAGCAGACCAACAGCCAGTTGTGATGGAATGTCTGGATTCCGCAGCGGCTAAATAATGTTTTGCTGACGGGTGGTGGGGCGGCATTGAGAAACGTGGAGAAACAAAATCCTTGGTGTTATACATAAAGCATTCGAGTGACTCTTAACCCTACTTCCGTCTTACCGTTGTCTGCGTTTTGTCTATGAAATGTGTGTTTTTCTCGCAAAAGGCAATCTTTTCCCAACCCTACTCCCTCCTTGCTCGTCATCTTCTCCATGGGCAAGTCTTCGCACGCAGAGGCGAGGCGGGAACCGCTTGTAAGCTATCTCTCAGGTTCGTTCTAGCCTAGCGTGCCCAAGGGTTGCGATTGCAACGTGTCGTGTCCATCGAAAAGAAAAACTGGGTGAAGCTTAATTAGCCACCTATCGTTTATTCTATTTGATTTCAAGCGCTTTTCTCATTCTGTCTTGTTTCTAACCATTGATAAAAATTTTCCCAAGTTTTAAAATAAATTGAATCTTCTTTCTCTTTCATCTCCAAAGTCAATCTATCCGTCTCTGCACATTCCAAAATTTTAGTAATTATATTCTGATATAAAATATGGTTATTCAATATGCATACCCGGACGGTAGCTTGCTTATTAAAGCATGGGATTATTGTTGGGGGTTTGTAGCCCCCCTTACCCTACCCCGAATTCCTTATTCCTACCCTTTCCCATACCTGTACTGATCCTGCTATTACCCCACCTATATAAAATCAAATCAAATATTTAAAAAAGAAAAAAAAAATTGGGCACAGCCAAAGCCACCCCAAAACACAAGTCGTTGCAGGTACGGGGCGCAAAGAACGGTCTGTAAATCAAGGAAATAAATAAAACAAGCTTCCTGATGCACAAAAGTTCTAAATCTTAGAAGGATGTCCAAAACATTAGCAAGAAGATCACCTTTCACACAGACAGACTGAATTATTAGCTAGGAGGCAGCAGCCAAAAAAACTAATACAGTTCAGGCATAGAATCAAAATCAGGAGAAGTATTAGTACCGCTTTATAAAGCCTTAGTAAGATCAAACCTGGAATACTGCAGCCAATTTAATAATAATAATAATAATAATAATAATAATAATAATAATAGTAATAATAATAATAAAAAAAAAGTTGGAAGGGACCTTGGAGGTCATCTAGTCCAACCCCCTGCTCAGGCAGGAAACCCTACAGCATTTCAGACAAATGGCTGTCCAGTCTCTTCTTAAAGACTTCCAGTGTTGGAGCATTCACCGCTTCTGGAGGCAGGTTGTTCCACTGGTTAAGTGTTCTAACTGTCAGGAAGTTTCTCCTTAGTTCCAGGTTGCTTCTCTCCTTGATGAGTTTCCATCCGTTGCTTCTTGTCCTGCCTTCAGGGGCTTTGGAGGATAGCTTGACTCCCACCTTCTTTGGGGCAGCCCCTGAGATATTGGAATGCTGCTGCCATGTCACCCCTCGTCCTTCTCTTCGTTAAACTACACGTGCCCAATTCCAGCAGCCGTTCCTTGTATGTTTTAGCCTCCAGTCCCCTGATCATCTTTGTTGCTCTTCTCTGCACTCTTTCTAGAGTCTCAACATCTTTTTTACATTGTGGTGACCAAAACTGGATGCAGCATTCCAAGTGTGGCCTTACCAAGGCCTTGTAAAGTGGTATTAACACTTCATGTGATCTTGATTCTATCCCTCTGTTAATGCAGCCCAGCACTGTGTTGGCTTTTTTGGCAGCTGTAGCACACGGCTGGCTCATGTTTAAGTGATTGTCCACTAGGACTCCGAGATCCCTCTCACAGTTACTACTATTGAGCAAGGTACCCCCTATACTATACCTGTACATTTGGTTTTTCTTGCCTAAATGTAGAACCTTAGTTTTTTCACCACTGATTTTCATTTTGTTAGATAGCGCCCAGTGTTCAAGTCTGTCCAGATCCTCCTGTATCCTAAGCCTGTCTTCTGGAGTGTTGGCTATTCCTGCCAGCTTGGTCTCGTCTGCAAATGTGATGATTTCCCCATCTATCCCCTCGTCCAATTTTGGTTACCATGTTACAAAAAAGATGTTGAAACTTTGGGAAAAAGCACAAAGAAGAGCAACTAAGATGATGAAAGGCCTGGAGACAAAAACATACGAAGAACGGCTGCAGGATTTGGATATGGCCAGTCTAGAGAAAAGAGGGACTAGGGGGGACATGATAGCAGCATTCCAGTATTTGAGGGGCTGCCCCAAAGAAGAGGGGGATCAATATATTTTCCAAACCCCCTGAAGGCAGAACAAGAAACAACGGTTGGAAACTCATCAAGGAGAGAAGCAACCTGGAATTAAGGAGAAACTTCCTGACAGTGAGGACAATTAACCAGTGGAACAGCTTGCCTCCAGAAGCTGTGGGTGCTCCATCACTTGAGATTTTTAAGAAGAGACAGGACAGCTGTCTGAAATGGTATAGGATCTCCTGCTTGAGCAGGGGGCTGGACTAGAAGACCTCCAAGGTCCCTTCCAACTCTGTTACTCTGTTATTTATCTATGCAGTGTCCAGAAAAAAAAAAAAACAACTTACGGATCATCGAGTGACATATTCTGGTCCGAAGGCTAGAAAAATGGACACGATGTTTCCACCCTGGGTGTTAAACAACACATTGCCCTGTTCTCAGTTTTTGCAAGTTGCAAGTTGCTAACGATGTCCTCCATGCAGTCCAGATTGGACCACCACTCAAATGAGATGCTGCTTTGAAAAGCCCTTCAAAACGGCATCCCCGGATGTGTTAAAAATCTACTTTCTCAACTCTTGGCTTTAAAAAACAAAAGAAGAGCCCGTTTGTGTCGATTTTTCCATCTTTTTTCGGTTCTTATTCTCCACCAAATGCAGGGGGGAAAGTCTGTGTACTTTTTTTTGTTTTTCATTGCAAGCAAAAGGGAGGAAATTTTTTTTAAAAAACCCTTTTACAAACAAATTCTGCCTTCAGAATTCATTGAGTTGCTTGTGAGCAACCCCGAAAACTTGGGAACCGTTCTTTTCGCCAAAAGAGCCCCTTGTGCCTACGGTTTCCGCGGCCTTCACCGGAATGAAAGGCTTCATTAATTCAAATTAAAAGGAAGGGAGGGGGCCAAGCCGAGGAGGGAGAGAGACCTCCCCCCCCTCCCACCCCAGTTTCCAGTAAAACTGGACCGATGCGTGAGAACAAGCGTTGCAGACTTCTCATCAGCAAATCAGTCTTGGGAAGCTGACTGATCCACGAAGCCCTTGCGGCGAGAAAGAGGCCGGAGAGCGACGGGCGGTCCTCGACTTAACGACCGATTCGTTTAGTGACCATTTGAAGTTACATCGGCAGTGAAAAGGGGGACTTGTGACTGTGTTTCACGCTTAAGCCACCATGGCAGCATCCCCGTGGATCAGGGGATCCCCAGTCGGACGCATCGCCACTGACTCGTATTTATGACGGTTGCGGCGTCTCCCGGAGTCACGCGATCCCCTTCTGCGAACTTCTGACAAGCCGAGTCAGTGGGGGAAGCCAAGATTCACTTAGCCACCGTGTTACTAATTTAACAACTGCCGTGATTCGCATGTGTGGCGAGAAAGGTCGTAAAATGAGGCAACGGCGACTTAACAACTGTCTCGCTCAGCGACGGAAATTTTGGGCTCAGTTTTAGTCGTTAAGTCAAGGACTGCCTGTACAGCAGCGTCGGAAATACGCCGTCTCTGTGATTTTAAGATGAATGTCCCTTTTCTACGCCGGAAGGAAGCCCAGTGTGTAAAGATTTTTCAACCTGTGGAGCTGCACCATTCCTTCTGGTGGCCGGGGACCAGCGGCAGGAATTGCGGTGGTCTAAAATGAACGGACACACACATTTGTGTATATGCACACCGCTTCCTGCCTCCTCCCCAGAGACGCAGCCTCCACTGCGTAGCTCTTGAGTAGCCTTCCTTCTCTTTGCTTGCTTATGTATGCCGCCTGTTTCAGACAGCCTGCCTGCGCTTTCTGCGGTGCACGATCAGGCAGGCCAAGAGTGGCTTGGCTTAGTAAAGGTTCAAGTAAAGGGTTAGTAAAGAGTGGCATGGTTTAGTAAAGGTTCTGTAAATGGTTAATAAAGAAAGGGCCTGGCTTAGTAAAGTTTCAGTAAAGGGTTAGTAAAATTGGCATGGCTTAGTAAAGGGTTAGTAAAGAATGGCATGGCTTAGTAAAGATTCAGTAAAGGGTTAGTAAAAATGGCATGGCTTAGTAAAGGGTTAGTAAAGAATGGCATGGCTTAGTAAAGATTCGGTAAAAGTTCAGTAAATTGTTAGTAAAGAATGGAATGGCTTAGTAAAGGTTCTGTAAATGGTTAGTAAAGAATGGCATGGCTTAGTAAAGATTCAGTAAAAGTTCAGTAAATGGTTAGTAAAGAATGGCATGGCTTAGTAAAAGTTCAATAAATTATTAGTAAAAAGGCATGGCTTAGTGAAGATTGAGTAAAAGGTTACTAAAGAATGGAATGGCTTAGTAAAGTTCTGTAAATGGTTAGTAAAGAATGGCATGGCTTAGTAAAGATTGAGTAAATGGTTAGTGAAGAATGGAATGGCTTAGTAAAGGTTCTGTAAATGGTTAGTAAAGAATGGCATGGCTTAGTAAAGATTTGGTAAAAGTTCAGTAAATGGTTAGTAAAGAATGGCATGACTTAGTAAAAGTTTAATAAATTGTTAGTAAAAAGGCATGGCTTAGTAAAGATTTAGTAAAGAATGTCATGGCTTAGTAAAGGTTCTGTAAATGGTTAGTAAAGAATGGCATGGCTTAATAAAGATTCTGTAAATGATTAGTAAAAAGGGCATGGCTTAGGAAAGATTGAGTAAAGGGTTAGTAAATGGCTTGGCTTAGTAAAGGTTTTGTAAAGGATTAGTAAAGCATGTCATGGCTTAGTAAGGATTGAGTAAAGGGTTAATAAAGGGTGTCATGGCTTATTAAAAGTTTACTAAAGGCTTAGTAAAGAGTGGCATGACTTACTAAGGGCTTAGCAAAGAGTTAGTAAAGAATGTCATGGCTTAGTAAAGGTTCTGTAAATGATTAGTAGAGAATGGCATGGCTTAGTAAGGGCTCTGGAAAAGAATTAAGAATGTAAACGGGGTGTGATTTGCAGATTATTTTCACAGCTAGCTGGCATCAGTTTCCTTAAAGTCAAAAGAATATATATATAGATTAATTTAGGGGCACTTTGGCCCGACCGAGGACCAGGGGAAACGACAGATCAGCCTCCTCCATCAATCGATTCTTGTTGATCGAAGCAAAGAAATGGAGCCATGTTTCTTTGAGGACACACACACACACACACACACACTTTGACAGGGTGCTTCCCAGGTGAGACCACCCTCTTGAACGAGGCATCTCATCAGCTGATGAAGACAAAAAGTACCTTCGCTTCCAAGCTGGTGTAATTATCAGCCTCGTAGAGATCAATTCCAGAGCAGCAAAGTTTAACATTACGCTAATGTGCAAACCCAAAGAAGAACTCAAAAGTTGCATCGCATTTTAAGGAAACACACAGAACTCTGGGGTTTATAACTCCTAGTGCTCAGAAGAGATGGTTTATGTGATCCCCAGGCAGAGACGATCGTTTGCAACCTTCCAGATGATGATAAATCCCAATTTTCCACCGTCTACCAGCCCAGAGCTTCCTGGGAATTGTAATTTTCTCTCTTCTATCCTCCTGGATGCAATCGCGGTCTACCATTTTTAAAGTTTCCGGATAAGAAATGTGATTAAAAAGAAAGAAAGAAAGAATCTGAGGTTGCTTTGTTATTTTGGAGAATTCATTTATTGCACGGCAGGAAATATGTACAACCGATAAAAAAAACATTTGCCCACTACAGGCTATTGTTAATTGCCATTCACAGCTGTCTTTTGTGTGGAACATTAAAAATAATCATGAAATAAGTTGCTCCTGGGAAATGTTTGAGTTTTCAAGGCTTAGTTTTTATTAAGCACGCTGTTGCTTTGACCGTGCTTTTGAAGAGGGATGTTATTTCTTTTTCTTTTTTTGTGCAAGGTCAACGCTGTGTGGCTGTTTTCCTGCTAATATTATTCAGAGAGAAAAGGGAACTTTTGCTGTGAACATAACACTTGAGACAGTAACCGTTGAGACAACAATTAAGCTTCTGTTGCTCTTGTGGTGACCCTTGAGTAAGCTACGGCAATGATCAGGTAAGGAATGGTTTGTAAGCGTACACAACAGCATTAACGAACAAAATGAAAATTTCACAAAGCTGGCAAGTGCCAAAATCCAGAACTAAAAGGATGGAATAATCTGGCAATATCTGAAAAAGTTTGCTCCTGACTTGGATAGAGACTATTCTAATTAATTACTATGAGGTTATAGAGGAAAAGGTAGGACGCAAATGTAAAACAGTAAGTAGCCCTTTAAACCATGTCTCTCTCTGCCAATCATCTCCCTCTCTATCAATTATTTATCTATCTATCTATCTATCTATCTATCTATCTATCCATCTATCATCTTCTCTTTCAATCAATTAAACATCCATCTGGCTACCCATGTATTCTATCTCCCATCCGTCTGTCGTTTTCTCTTTCAATCAGCCATCCACTATAATTTATCATCCATTTATCAATTCCATCTATTAATAATTAGCCATCTGTCCATCTATTCTGTCATCTATTTATCTGTCTACCATGTTCTTTCTCGCTCTGTCTATCCTCTCGTGCAATTAAACATCCGTCCGCCCATCGATGTGTTCATTTCTCATTTATCTCAATTAATTAGCCCTCCACTCACTCATCTATACCTATCCTCAGTTAGCATCCGTCCATCCATCTTTCACCTGTCCGTCCATCAATTCATTTATGCACCCTATCATCCCTCCAGCCGTCCATTCAATCTCTCTCTCTCCTCCTCTATGTATATATTAATTTCCAGCTTTTAGCTTTTATTTGCGTACAAAAATATATTATCACGAAAACGTTTTAAAAGTTAATATAGAATTTCCGATCTTTTCGTAAAAGGCCTTTTTAAATTAATGTTAAGCTACAGGGTTGTTTTTTTTAAAAAAAGCTTGAGCTCTTGTGTTATTTTTGATTCAGTCTGCAGATAGGAAAAAAAATCACAATGACAATGCTTTAAACACGTTAAGAGGCAATTGCTGGAAAATTTTCCGAGAAAAGAAGGATTCCTGTGTCTCTTCCCATCGGATGGTGGGTTGCAGGAATAAACTCCATCCCATCCTTTTGAAGGCGGGTGTTGGGTCCAAACAGAGTGTTTCACATACCTGTACAAAGATCAGATGGAATAAATGTTACTCTGATGTTTGTGTAGTATAAATGCTCTTTCAAGATACGTTTGCGATGTAATTGAAATGATACAGACAGGCTTTGAACACTGAAGGAAATAAATCAGAGCTAAAGGCACTAATCTCATAAAGGTAGCCCTCTGTTCATTTAGTGACCGTTGGGAGTTATCACAACAATGAAAAAAGTAACTTTTCACACTTAACAACTGCTGCAACAGCACCCACGGTCACGTGAGCAAAATTCAGAGGCTTGGCAACTGGCATGTACTTGTGACGGTTTCAACGTCCCAGGGTCCCAGTTGGCGACTTTAATCTGACCCACAAAGTCAATGGGGGAAAAAAAACAGATTCACTAACTAACTTCACAGCTCCAGTGATTCCCTTAACAAATGCGACAGGAAAGGTTGTAAAATGGGGCGAAAGTCGCTTAACAACTGTCTCGCTTAACGGCGGAAATTTGGGCCTCTGTTGTGGTCGTCAGCCGAGGACTACCCGTAATTCAGATTCCCAATGGAAGCGTCCAGGTCAACCATCAATTCAGCCTTAATCCATGTATCTCCATGCATGTAAGTCTAAATAGGTTCCTGTGTTCAGGTGCAGTGTCCAAGACACACCTGGACAAGGGACCTAGTTGTCACCTTGACTTTTTTTGACATTGTCCTGGTGGATCTCCTTTGTGTACAGGGACACGGCTGTTCATCGTCGATGGAGGTGCTCCGTCATCCAGGTCAAGGTTGTCCCAAAAGTGCTTTTTCTGGAGGCAACTGGACTTTTTTGTTTTTCTTTGAAGACGTTTCCCTTCTCATCCCAGAAGCTTGTTCAGCTCTGACTGGATGGTGGGGAAATGGAAAGATTTATACTCCTCGCAGACAGCTGGTCATTTGCATCCTTTTAGAGAATCATTGAGGCCACCTGGAGGCTTATCTGTGTCCTGGGGTCAACTGAGTGGTGTAAATGGGTGGGGAGCCTTCCTGGATCTGCTGAAAGGACTGTGTTGTAGAGTGGAGATAGTTTGAGAGAGGGGTCCAAGAGGCCATCTAGCTCAAAGCTGAACAGCTCTCCCTCAACAGAAGGGGGGGGATAACACACCCTCTATCTCCAGTCTACAACAGAGTCCTTTCAGCAGTCCCAAGAAAGCTCCACGCCCATTTGCACCACTCAGGTGACTCTGAGGACACAGGTAAACCTCCAAGTGGCCTCAACGACTCTCTAAAAGGATGCAAATGACCAGCTGTCTGCGAGGAGTATAAATCCTTCCGTTCCCCCACCATCCAGTCAGAACACGAAGAAGCTTCTGGGATGAGAAGGGAAACGTCTTCAAAGAAAAACGAGAAAGTCCAGTTGCCTCCAGAAAAAGCACCTTGGTGATATCTGTTCATTGTTTCCTGGGCAGGGATGTAGTGTTGTCTACCTTGGTCCTTGCCCAGGTATCTGCTGGGAATCCAGGTTGATTACTTACTTGCCAAAACTCTATCAAGATCTGCAATAAAATCTTCCAGTTCTTTGGTGTCTCCAAGTTTCGCTGGAAAGGAAAAAACAAAATATGAGGAATGTCTACGCAAAAGAAACGTTGACTTCATGGTTAGCTTCCTGATGACTCTCTTTAATTTTTTGTAACATGGTAAAATTAAGAATAATATTTGGGGGCTGAAGAGATGATTGACTTTCATCCTTCCGAGGTCAGTAAAATGAGGAGCCAGATTGTTAGAGCCAAATAATGCTGACTCTGTAAAGCGCTGTAAAAACACTCTGAAGTGGCATATAAGTCAAAGTCAGGGGTCTTCAAACTTGGGCCCTTTATCTCTTGTGGACTTCAACTCCCAGAATTCCTCAGACAGGCACGCTGGCTGAGGAATTCTGGGACTTGAAGTCCACAAGTCATCAAAGGGCCAAGTTGGAAGACCCGTGTCTTAAATCTAACAAACAAAATGGAGGCTGGCTGAGGAATTATGGGAGCTGAAGTCCACAAGTCATCAAAGGGCCAAGTTTGAAGACCCCTGTCTTAAATCTAACAAACAAAATGGAGGCTGGCTGAGGAATTCTGGGAGTTGAAGTCCACAAGTCATCAAAGGGCCAAGTTGGAAGACCCGTGTCTTAAATCTAACAAACAAAATGGAGGCTGGCTGAGGAATTCTGGGAGTTGAAGTCCACAAGTCATAAAAGGGCCAAGTTTGAAGACCCCTGGCTCTTCAATGACCATTCAAAGCTACCGCAGCATATGAAAAAAAAAGGTGACCGGTTTTCTCACTTAGAATCGTTGCAGCATGCCAACATGGTCACGTCTGGCCAATCGTGGTTTTCCTTCTGGAGAATTTTTTGTTTTTTAAATGAGCCTTCAAACCCTACCTTTTCGAGACGCTATCATGGGAGAAGACACCGATGGAGAGGATGGGGTAGAGGAATGTAATTTTTCGTCGCTAAAGCTGAGGCTGTGTCCACACAGCGAATCTGCACCTGGAACAAAGTTGTCGACTAGAGTTAGAAAGCAGATAATAATAATAATAATAATAATAATAATAATAATAATAATAATAATAATAATAATAATAATAATAACAACAACAATAATAATAATAACAACAACAACAACAACAAAACAACATAATAATAATAATAATAATAATAATAATAATAATAATAATAATAATAATAATAGTAATAATAATAGTAATAATAATAATAGTAATAATAATGTTGGAAGGGACCTTGGAGGTCATTTAGTCCAACCCCCTGCTCAGGCAGGAAACCCTATACCATTTCAGACAAATAGCTGTCCAGTCTCTTCTTAAAAACTTCCAGTGTTGGAGCATTCACCACTTCTGGTGGCAAGCTGTTCCACTGGTTAATTGTTCTCACTGTCAGGAAGTTTCTCCTTGGTTTTAGGTTGCTTCTCTCCTTGATGAGTTTCCACCCGTTGCTTCTTGTCCTGCCTTCAGGCACTTTGGAGAATAGCTTGACTCCCTCTTCTTTGGGGCAGCCCCTGAGATACTGGAACACTGCTGCCGTGTCACCCCCCGTCAATCAAGTGTTTGAAATTTCTATCACCCGATAGTTCCTGATTTTATTTCTTAAAGAAGAGGAGACATGGAGCCGAGTGGTCTCCTGAAGCCTCCACAGCTAGCTTAGTAGACCAGTTATCCGTATTAAAATCGCCAGTTTTAAATCCATGCCAAAGCAGTGTTCACACATAAACTACCATTCTTTCCATTGCTCAAAATTGTGTTTGTTTATGGTGGTTTATTTGTTGCTCCCATCCTCCAAAGGGCTTTGAACAAGTGTGAAGTGTCCAAGTTGGAGGCTAGATAGAGAATTGTTGAGGATGCCTTAATTTCAGCTCTCGCAGTGGGACTGGGTGGTTAAAGGGCCTTTTCCAATTTTCTGAGTCTGCGCTTGCAGCCTCTTCGGGCCGAGGCAAAACCTACTTAATGAAGGGTTTGGAATCGGAAAAAAAGAGGGATGCTTACCTTGGCCGCCGAAATAATTCACGGTTAGCTCCAGTTATTTCTGTTCCGGAGTTCAGCAAAAAAAAAAACCTCAAGAGCTCCACTTAAATATAGGCCAAGGTCCTAAGCAGCAGTTAACCGCTGCTACGAAACCACGTTTGGAAAAAAAAAAAGAAAGCTAAAGAGAGATTCGGGTCTCGTTTTTAGATGTTCTTTCCCTCGACACACCCTCGCCGGTGCAAAGGGGTGTGATAGGCCAGGGGACCGAATCCTGCAACGAGCAGCTCCCAATTTGCAGCCTCTGCTGGATGGGGCCCCCAAGTCTTCAGCTCAGAAAAGGTGGGCCTTCTCGGTCGGTCGTTGGCTCCCTCGGCACGAGGTAGGAGGGCTCCGACGGGCAAAAGAGCATTTGGCTCCCGAAAATATGCAGAGTTGGACTGTATGTAAGCACTTAATTGTCAGCCCTTTGGGGCAGGACAGAGCAGAAGCCCTAGTTTGTAGTTGTAGGGTACCGTGAAAGAATTGGGATCCTGGCCAGTTTCAATCAAAATGGAGGAACTTTGAGTTCCTTCCTTCCTTCCTTCCTTCTATTTTTGGTCTTTCCTTCCTTCCTTCCTTCCTTCCTTCCTTCCTTCCTTCCTTCCTTCCTTCCTTCTTCTGCTGACTACCATGTCAAGGTTGACTCAGTTTTCCATTCTTCCGAGGTCAGTAAAATGAGGATCCAGATTGTTGGGGGATGGGGGGGCAAGATGCTGACTTTGTAAACCGCTTAGAGAGGGCTGCAACTACTGTGGAGTGG